TTATAACACTTTCTTGGAAATTTCACTATAAAAATACTTTCCCAGAAAATTACAATCAATTACAATGAGCCCTGGCCTGCTGACGGCCCTCATGGCCTGCTCTAGGAGCCTGCTCTTGGAGCCTGCTCTTGGAGCCTGCTTTAGGAGCCTGCTCTAGGCCGACCGAGCTGCGCGCAGAGATGCCGTTTCATTATTCATGGCGACAGATCGCTTGTGCCGAGCCAGCACTGTGCCAGGTTGTGCGTTTACTCCCCGGACTGGAAGAAGCTGTATGTCGCTCGCGTCAAGGCTGCGTGTGCGCTGCCAATGCTTCCTTCCCATATTCTGGAAATTTTAGAGTCCAAAATTTTTCCGGAAAAATTGGAGACTTTTCCCAGGAAAAAAAAATTGAAAAATAAGAAATTCCGATAACATTGAAATCTCTTCTCCACTCTTGGCTAGCGTGGTACAGTCATGCTGCAACGGCCCTGCCCTCCCGGCGTTGCGCCCCGACACCCGACAAGTAAACTGGCGTTTAGTTTCTTCACGACGACACACGCGTCTCGTTCGTGTAATTATTGAAGTGCAGCTGCAATGCCCCACCCGCGCCCCCCGCCAGAAACACCTTCACACGCAGCAGCGCAAGGATATAGCCTACGTAGCAGCAACGAAACACGCGCCGACGCTGGCCGATGATTGCGGGTCGCCGGATCCATTTTTCCCGACGGTGTCCGGGATTGCACCCGGGCGGCCTGACCTTCCCCACCACCGCGGCCGCGTCCACCTGCTCGCGCCTCAGTGCCAAGGACTCGGGCCGGGCGGGTCTCCTTTCCCTATCCTTGCCATATACGAAGATTGTAAAACCATAGATTTTATTTTCACCCCATTTTATTTTGGAAGTGGTTAGGAGGATTTTGCCGTGGACATACTAGTTGCGATTCCACCCTCGCTTGAATCGAAATTCTAACCGACTTAAGGCAACGCTGGAGCTAGTGGTACCAAACAAGTACAGATGCCTAATTTTAGTACATTTAGTTGCTCAGTTGCTTATGACGAGTTTCTGTTATTATTATGATGACTGACGATTTATAATGCTGGTATCCCCACTGCGGAATACAATGCATGTACAAAACGCTGTCTGCGGGCATGATATGCCAGAGCTGCTGCTGGACATACTCACCACGCATTGAAGTCCAGCCATGTTTCTTGGTAGCACTGCAAGATCGTCACAAAAGACCACACCTGCTTCAAGTCTGGCGGCAAACTGAACCGGCGCGGCCCGCGCGCTCCGGGGCTCCGCGGCGGCCGGTCGGCGGCAGCCCGGGGGGGCCGGGCTGGGCCGGGAGGCCGGGGGGGGCTCTCGCTCAAGTGGAATCGTGGGGACGCCAGGGGCCATCCGGGCTGCGGAGAGGGGGGCGGGGGTTGACGCCCGGGTACTCCACGAGTGCCACCCGGACACCACCCGAGCGGGTAATGTGCGTCTCTTTATACTTTACACTGTTAATGCAATGCAATCTACACCGATTTTTTTTTGTGTTTCTACTTTTTTTCTGACTTTCTTCGATTTTTTTCACTTTTCCTGATTTTTTAAAATCGAAATTTGCCAAGCCTCGACTCGCGGGGTGAAGACGGACAGGGTGCCGAGGCTGTTTGAACGGCGCGCGCGCTCCCGGCGACCCCCACTCCTCGACAACCCCGACCCCCTTCCTCCCCCTCCCAAACTCTCTCGCCGTGTCGAATGGGTGGCCTACCCTTCTCGGCGTTGGCGAGCCGTCCTTTCATACTACTTACGTTCGTTTACCAATTTTTGAATATGTAATGAAGTCAAAGTGACTGTGCTTGGTGGCTTCTAGTTATTTATTGAGGTCATTGATCGACGATTGAATTAAATATTGTTAATTTTAGTTTCGAGCCCCTCTTCCTTGCTCCTGGCGTGGTGGTGGTCATAGCTGTCGTAGCTGGCCAATGGTGAAGTGGCATTCTTTTTGTGCCCCTGTCTTTTCGCGAGCGGGTATTTTTCATTAATAATCAGCGAGACGTTCAGAATAAGTCAGAAATGAACGGCACCAAGACGGCACTCCATGGACTCTTTTCTGCTTTCACATTTTCCCGCGGTGGAGCGGTGGAGCTAGTGGGAGGATGAGGTTGCAGTGGTCTGGTCACAAAGGTTGACCGATCCTCAGCCGAGGGTTCGTTCCTTGCCTTACAACTCTGCTCTGATGATGACCAGCCGTGGAGATTTTCTTGCAAATGAGAAGTCATCTATATGTCCATTCTGTAATTGAAATGGCTATTACCCGACCTTAGTGAATAGGAATTTCATCAACAATGGCAGAAAATCGAGAGGTGATATTGGCGAATTTCCAGGTAAAGTAGCATTTACGTGTATTGCTACTGTTATGATCTTTAACAAGGAGAATGGTGTTGATGTTGTGACAATAGGTTAGGCTTGCTCTTATTTTCATTGTTTATGGTCTCCCAGTTTCATTCTTTTACAAGGTGACAGTCGTTTAGACATTCCCTTTGCTGCACAATTGTATTGCAGAGTCTAACCTCACTTATATACAGGATTTTCACTGTAAAGATGATGCTGGTTGTCACCTTTTAAAATTAAACTGCTAGTCATATTGAACAGTTGTGCATGTTGTTCCATCATCTTTGTTAGCGAGGTCAATACCTTGTCACTTTTCTTAGAAACTATGAGTAACTACACTTTCTGTATTCTGTTTCAATTTATGTAGATAGTAAAACCCCTTGGTAGTTTAAGTTGATATATTTCTTTGTTTTTAGTTGCTTTTGTGACAGTTACTCTCATTTCCTTTGTGTAAATTTCATTTTTAGGCCTGTACCGGACTTGATGATGTTGGAGAAGCAATTTTCCATCTTGAAGAAGCACAATGGGACCTTGTGGTGAGTTATTTTAAAGAATCAAACTATTTATTTATTGTGTTATTTTTAATTTAATTTTTGTAAATTGTCATATGAGGTGTTTGTCGTTGTTAATTACAATGATTTTGGTTTTATATTGAATTTGTTAACTTTTTCAATGTGCGCAGGTTGCAGTAAACAGGGTAATGCCTCAGGATTCTCAAGAAGTTTTGCCAGACGCTGTACCTCTAGCAAACCACATTCCTCCCAGTTTTATATCCGAGCCAATGGATGAATCTTTACCACTGGTTCATCCAAATCATGCCTATGGACCACAGTATGATCCAGTTTATGCACCGCCATCTCCACCCCTACCATTACTACCTCTTGAACCAGAGACAGTAGTAATGCCTCCATCAAGAAATTTAGATTTGAACATGCCAGACCTTATGCCTTCAACATCAAGGGGTAGTAATGCAATGATGTATACTTTCAAAGTGCGCTATGGAAATTCCGAAGAAACTTATGAAATGCCTGAATATAGTACCATTGGTAATGTCTAGAAAGAATGGATGTTATACAATGTATGCTTTACACTAGCAATAATTTTCAAGACAATTAACATTATTTTATCTGGTTTTAGCTCAACTCAAAAATTTAATTTATCAGCGAACAAATATTACTCCTGCATGTCAACTTCTGACAGGCTGGGATATTCATGTTTCTGACCATGTCCTTCTCAAAAACCTGGGCTTACCAAGGGAAATAACATTACTTCTTGCATCTTTGGCTGTAGAAAATGAGTAAGTTACTAGTTCATACTTCTTAAAATATGGTCTAATTAACTTTAATCATATATTTTTATTTTTTTTTCAATATTCTAGTACATCAGGTGTAATGGAGGATGCCCCGCCAGATCCTAAATTGAAGAATTATATTTTAAACGTGACACATGAGAAAAAGAATCACAAGAAGACTTACAGATTGTCCTTCCCTGGATCTCACACAGTTTTACAAGTCAAGAATGATGTGTACACATGTACTGATATCCCAGCAAGGTAACTGGATATAGCATTACGCATTAGAGATCAACTAATAGAAGTGATAATGTTAAACCTTGACCTAAGAATCTCTCTACCTAGTAAACTTAAACTTTACTTTCATACAGACACCAAATGTGGATTGGTTGGCCAATAGGTACAACTGACCGGTCCATGCTACATGAGACGGGTGTGAATTCTGAGCATAGCCTTACCGTTACAAGCTCAACTGAGCTAACTGGACATAACTCAGCTTCTAGTTCAAAGGTGAGAAACCTGTTTTGTCAGAGTATATTATTTAATTTTATTTGAAGGTTTTTCATTTAAATTATAATTTACTCATTACAGGCTTCAAGATATACCGTAGATCAAACTAATCATGATGACAGTGATGCCTCATCAGAAGAGTTTGAGGATGCTTCTGCATCTCTTGAAGGGGATATTGATCATGAAATATTTATTGATGACATGCCTTCCAACAAGTTGCGCTCTTTAGGTACTGCTCTTTCCCACCTTTAGAAGTTTCTTCTTTTAGATTTCTGATTTGGGATTTCTCCTTAACTTAAAGTCTCTTTATTTCCCAAATAGTTCCTTCTGACGCAAGCGATGAAATGGCTGGAGCAATAAACTTTGGTGAAGAATTTACTAATAGGTATGGCAGTGGTTACCCTTCATTCTATCCAGGATCTCTAGAAGATGCAATCAAAGATTCATGTCTTAAACCTGCTAAGGATGTAAGTTTACAGTCTCAAAGTTATATGGAACTCACTATCCTTCTTAAGAATTCTCGCAAGTAATTAGTAATGCCATTTTTTTTATTTCAGAGAAAGCTGCTGGCAATGTACATTCACAATGATAAAAGTGTTCTAGCCAATGTATTCTGTACCCAACTTCTTGGCGCAGAATCTGTTCGTGGCTGCCTTTCAGACAGCTTTGTTGTCTGGGGCTGGGATACAACTCATCCATCAAATAAAATAATGTAAGTTGGAATGCTGATGTTACATGCATGGAGGCTGTCTCTTATACATTCTAAGACTAATAATGTTTTCCATTTAGGTTTCTAAATTCTGTGAATCGTAGTCTAGGTAATGTAGCAGGACAAACAATAGGCTTGGTTCCAGAAGATAAGTACCCTATCCTAGTGATCCTTATGCGGAACAGAAATAACACTGAAATTTTTAGAATTGTTCATGGTGAGTATTTTCTTATTTTGAATTTTACACATATTATTAGTCACAGTAGATACTGACAAAACTCAAAACTTCCCTTACAGGTAACATTGGTGTTAGTGAACTTTTGACTTGTTTACTTGAGGCTATAGAAGTATTTGCTCATCAGCAATCTCTTGATCTCAAAGATGAAGAGGAAAGGTTTGCTAGGGAATCCATCAAGGTAGAACAAGACCGTGCTTACCAAGCTTCACTAGCAATGGACAGGTAATGATAAAATCTGTAGTTTAGACGTTTATTACCTAACCACATTAGACACTTATCCATTTGCATCAAATTTTTTGATCTTATTCCAGGGCCAAAGAGGAATCAAAGAAGCAGCAAGAAATGCTGGAAGAACGCGAGAGAGAACGAAGTCAACGTGAGAGAGAGGAGCAAGAAAATTTGAGAGAGGTAGGTACACTTAAGACTTCCAGGAGTTCAGATATGTGTGCAAGAGAATGAATAAATATTCTCTCAATTACAATTCTTATGTCATGCAGACCCAACGTGTACAACTGGAGAGTGGACTTCCACCTGAACCCGAAGAGGGATCAAAGGACATAATTAAGATTCGTTACAAACTGCCAGAGGGAGGAATAATTGAAAGGCGTTTCTTAGCCAAAGAAAAACTTAAAGTGAGTAAAAAAGAGGAGCACCTTCTGTACTTGAAAATTTTTGCAATAATCTTAATGTTTTTATCTACTTTGTCATTTCAGTATCTATTGGACTTTTTGACTGTGAAGGGTTACCCCACTGAAAACTACAAAGTTATAACCTATCCTAGACGCGATGTAAGTGCACTGATCGCTGTACACACTACGTATTTCTTTTTATTTAAGTTGCTAAGGTTTAATTTTGTTATGATTTCTTGTTAGGTTACTTCACTTGATCAACAATTATCTCTGGCTGAACTCAAGCTGTGTCCTCAAGAAACTATGATGGTTGAAGAACGATAGTGTTTTATCAAGATCTGTAAATAGATAGTTGAGATGTTCTATTACACCACACAATCTTTTTGTTCTTTTCTTACAGTGGAACATTTTCAGCTAATAAAATTTTGTTTCTTGCAAAATTGTTCTCATGCAAAGCATGGTGTATTGTGATGTGGTCCATATCCTTTGCTCTTACAGTATATGGATCTATACTTGTTTACAACTGTGTCCCTCTGAACGTAAAGAAAGCTGCACATTCAGAACTGTAGTGTTAAAGAATTGATGGCAAATGTTGAAGACCTGTGAGTGCCAATGGAGACAAGTAGCTTTAGTTTGTCCATTCCCCCAAATTTTCTGACTGTTGTCATTGTTTTGCCATCAATCTACAAAAAGAACAGTTGATACATTTTTTATGTGTGGTTGTAAACTTTGCTTTCAGAGTGAAAAACTGATTTGGCTTCTACAGTTTTATTATTTACTGGGCACAAAGTCATATGGCATATATAAATGGTTAAAAGCACCTTTCTAAATGTAATACAAATCAGATATATTTTAGAGACCTCTCTTCTTGTTCCAAATTGGAATCTCTTCCAATTCATACATTGTGCTTTTGTGGTTAACCTGTAATTGTAAATGTTAAGTCAGCCCAATATTTGTTTTTCTTTATTTTACAAATTTTAAAATTTATGTATGTACCTTTATAATGTTTACAAATCTATTGAAAAAAAAAAAAATGATTCCCCAAATACAGTAGAGATAAATGTTTTTAACTTTATATCAATTTGAAGTCTTTAACTTATATGCTGAATTGATTGTAAAAAAATATTATTGAAGTGAAACTTGGAATTAAAAAATTTAATTGAAAGAAATTAACTTTTTCCCCTCCTTAAGGTATCAGAGAAATTAACGATTTGTACTCAAATATAATAGAAACCATGCCGCTGCTAGGTTTCAAAGACAGTTTTCCAAAGAACTTGAGATTCTGAAAATAAGTCAGCAAACGTGCCTCGATAAATTTCTTCAGAAGCTGGCTCCGACTGCTGAAGCAAAGAGAGAGGAGGTTCATAATTATTCTAGCGCCTGTGCCAAGCTGGTCTGCTCCAGTGCAGGTGCAGGGTTCTGCCAACCACAAGCCTGCTGGCTGCTGCTGAGAAATGGAAGCAAACATTGTAGTTGAAAGGGTACTTTATTCAAAAACATTGTATGATACATTTAATCGTTAGGGATTTAGAGTACAAAAGAGTGCCACCCCTGTAAAACTTCACTTGAATATCAAAAACCATACCAATTCAAATCCTTAAATCCATAAGCTGTTTAGTATGAGAACTAACTGTACTAACAAACAATTTTGATTCAAAAGTAAGTTCAAAAGTCATCCGTTTACAAGTAGGTTTATTAAAAGATTTTTACCTTCATTTCATTGAGGAGAATGCTCCAGGTAGAGGAGGAGTGTTTGCTTTTTGAAGCAATTTCAGTTGAAAAACATTTATTTCCTTCTCTATAGCTTTGCAAGTATTCTTCAGATATCTTAATACCTTATTGCACCAAACCCCAGACTTTGACATACGAGCAATAAACGCTCGATAACATATCCATCGAATCTCCTTGGCTGATATCCATTTACCTAGAATGTGCATACATAAGTAAGTGCATCTGCATGAATACGCATAAACAAACCGAAACTAAAGTCTTTCTCAGAGTAAAAAAAATCACATTTACTGCAATACAAAAAAAATCATACATGAAATGTGACTAAATTGAATTTTTCAAATACCTGGGTAACTTTGGGCAACAATTCTTAGTACTCTCTTTCTCAAAGTCCTTTCCCCAACTTTCACACATTGCAATATGAAAGTCTGGTTAATTTTTTTTAATGGAAAGCAAACATTAACAAAAGCACAAAATCGGAAAGCCATGAAAAGTGCACTATTATAAATATTCTGAATAATATTGTGTTTGGAGTTAATTCGTCTGTCCACCAAAATAGGGCTCAATTTCAATATAATTTTCATCCGGAACAGAAGAGACCTATGAATTCAAAAGTATAAATAAGATTAGTGAGTGAAAAACAAACAATTAATGGGAATCAAGTACCAGTACAACACACAACCTACTTTCCTAATTTTTGAGTTTTACTTAAGGATAAAGTATTTGCAATGTTCAAATTTGCATAGGCATCAAAGCATCCTTGCACAGAAAATGTTTCCAAATCAATCAAGAAACCACAAAAGGGCACAATGGATGTATCTGAAGTTAAGTTAGTTAGAGTTTTTTCCTTGTTGAATTGAACATTGAAGTCAGGAAATCCCTCAGACACCTTGTGCAGAAACCTTGATGCGACAAAGGAATTAAATAAATACAAAACATTAAAAAGCAAATACCAGTTCATAAAAAACTAAACAAAGTGCACTTACTCTTCTGCTCTCTCTTTATCAGGTGTAAGAAACAAATAGTCATCACAATAACGAACAAATATTTCACCTTCCTTTGTTTGACGGAAAGGTTGGAAATGTTTTATATCGAGTGAGTTATAATATATTTCACAAAGGATTGCAGATAAATGCATACCCTGAGGAATTCCATGGCATATTCTAAATACAGCTTTACCAAAGCCTGTGGCTAAGCGATGAACATGATTTCTAATATGAAGCAAAATGTTCCGTATGTTCTCAGTCTAGCAAAAATAGCACATATAATTACTGAAGAGACATTGATGGTTACAGAACTCAAAAGTTTTGATAACCATATAATACCATACCTTAGGTGGCCCCAACTTCTTTAGAGGCACAGCGCTTGATGTTGGTACAGACATTGTCTTCGATTCATAGATGTCAAGAACTTTTCTGCCTCTTTGGACACTCCAAACTGTCATCTTACAATCACTGGACAAAAATTGTTTGTTCAGATCTTGTAAAATTGAGTTCATTTTGTAGTGGTTAATAGAACCAAAAGCATCTTTCACATCAGCCTGAAACAAAACAGACATATTTTAACTTTTCTTCTTTTCAAAGAATATTTTTGGTTGTTTTTATTTTTTGCTACTTACTCGTACAAAATAGTATGGAGGCCGAGTAACTGGATCAGGGTAAAGTTTAACAGTTCTTAGTAAACTGTTATGCAGCATCTGATCAATGTTCCGACTAAATGTTGTATTTTGGGCCCCATTACTATAGGCAAGTTGATGCAGCAACATCTTTGAATTAACTCTTAATAGCATGGAAGCAGTGTCAGATGGCTGTCTAAAATATTATTATTATTATGAAAATGGCATGTTAAGTACTTCAGTTACGGCTACAGACGTGTGAACATGTTAACTGACCTAAAAACAGTGATAGGCCGCAGACCATGTTTTTTTACACGAAATTGGGTCCTTCCAATATCAGCAAATTTAGTTGTTTCTGAAATATTGTCTCCAGTCTTAGCAATCTTACCATTTGCTATAAGGTTTTGAATTTCCTTTTGCTTCAATAGAAGCCACTTTTTCTTATCATAAAACAGAATCTCATTTGATGCATGAATGGCAAGGTGAAAGAGTCTACAAATAATGACTTGAACATACAGAAGTAACCATTTCACAAGACACGCCAGTACATGTAGACGCAGACTATTAGAGGATACAACCTTTTGCAGCCACTGAATGTGACTCACTTTCAGGCCATGAATCTGAAACAGATGAAATTATGATTTAAAGACTAGACTTTAATAGAAAATTTTAAATAAAGCACTGTTAGAACCAAACTTTACCACTGAGCTCAAACTTAAGCACTGTCCATGACAGCCGTAAACTATTCTGCGAACTGATTTCATGAACAGTTTAAAGTTTGCCTTTGATCCGAGCAATTCTGATGGCAAAATGTGCAAAAGAATAAAAAAAAGAATGTGAAAGACTACTTTTCTAGGGTAATTTTCACCACACTGAAGTCCAGGAAATACAACATCTATCTGCTGAAACGCTATATTTTTGAAGACATTAAGTCGCTTATGCTGCTTTAAAAATTTTTCAAGGACACTGGCCAAGTGTTTCAAATCCATTGTCTTTGCAAGATCCTCATTCAAAAGTGATTTTATGTCGATGCCTACTTTCACTGCTAACATGTTATTTAACATGCCAAGGCCCTGAAACAGTGGTACATAAAACATTATGGACGAAAGTGAGGAATAAGACATGACGAAAAACACATTTTCAACATACCGTTACATTTACTGCTGAAGTTTGATCTAGTACATGTGAGTATGAAGCTTTAAAACAATCGTTTATTTTGAGACCATTGCTGGGTTCATCCTTAAAAGGTGACTTTTCAATGGCGAAAGCACTGGTAGGATAGCATTTTGAACGCCGCTTGCGCCTTGTTTTCTTTTTCTTTGCCTTGTCTACTTTCTTGTCAGTTGCCATGACCAAGTTTCCCTGAGAGAATAAAAAATATTTTTACTTAGTTCTTGGTTACTTGAAAGTTGAAACCAAAACATGCCACTGGAGCGGAAATGACGTCAGTCGACAAAAGTGCACCGCCGCCAACGAGCGCGAAAATTCAACTCCACAGCTGTCCCGTCACCTTTTGACGTTCGGGCAACCAGACCAGGAACTGCATTGGCTTTGTTGTGGCCTGATCTAGGGGACTGTCTATTTCTTACAATGGGACTCATACAAATTTCAGAATCCATTCAAACTTTGAGTTTTTCAATGTTGACTGATTAAAAGATTGCCGATAAAAGTTCGTGCCCAATTTGATATTTTGGGGTACATTGTGGATATTTCTAAAAATGACTAAAAACCCATTTTTTAAAATAAAAACCTTAAGTTATTCTCGGTTTCCAATCAGGTCTAAATCAATTTTCACTTGTCGAAGACAAACTAGGGAGCATACTTTGACACCTGGCGGGATGAAATATGGACAGATTATGGACAGAGATTAAACGGACAGAGAACGGACATAGGACGGACATAGAACGGACAACAACACACCTGTTGAGGGAGCTGGAGAAGTGCGTGAGCGAGGCCAGCGCAGTGCACGCGACCCTCGGCCGGCTGACGCGCGTCGAGCTCAAGTTCGACGGGGATGCTGGGCCCGGCCATGAGAGAAGGGCGCCCTCTTCTCATGCCCGGCGCTCGCCCGCCGTTCAGATCCTTGGCGTCGACGTCGAGCCTTGACAGGCTGGAAGTGGTGTACGCACCGCCGAATAAGTACTGTGACCACAAGAAGGGCCTGCGCGTGCAGCAGTGCACCGACCTCCAGCCGTCACTGGAGTGTACTTCAAGTGCGACGTCAGGCCGGGCTGGGAGCGCTTCGTCAACCAGGGGGGGGGGGGGGTCTCGGGAACCAAGTGAGAGAACGACCAGTGCCGTGAACGCGTGAAGGAACGGCGACAGGAAACGAACGTGCTCCATTAGCTCTTATGGCGCGTTCGTTCTCTTCTCCGCCGCGTTCCCGCTCCCGTTCACGTTCTCCAAGTGGTTCCCGAGAAGCCCCCCTGGTGCTGACCAGGCACGCCTCCACCCTCGAGGTGGTTGACCTCAGAAGGAGTGCCTGACGGTGTGCTCGATGTCGACGTCGTCGCTGGTGGGCGACATCCTCAACCTCCGCGCCGCGAGCTGATCTGCCCGCTGCTGCTCCAGATTGCTCCAGATGGAGGCCCTGGCGACGTGTGAATCGCTGAGGAAGATCACCCTCCACGTTACCTCCGAGATGCACCCCTCCATGCACGCGGGTGTTTAACTCTTTGCGCGGCGCCACCCAGCTCCGCTCCGTCATCCTGAAGTGCGCGTCCGCCTCCCACATGCCGGTCGACTACCGCGCCGAGCTGGTGGGGGCGCTGCGACACTGCAGGCGGCTGGCGTGTCTGCGCATCGACACTCATTACGACCCCACCAGGGACACGGACGTGTTCGGGCGCAGGTCTCAGTTCGCGCCCAGGGAAGGGCACCTCCCCAGGCTGCAGCCGCGGTGGCGGGGCGGGGCTCCCCTCCATGCCGTCCCTGAATTCTCTATACAGCTGGACGTGTACGCCACGCCGGTCGAGCTGCTGCTGGCCATCACGATCACGCCGTCCACGGCCCCAGCCCTGCGGTCTACCTGGCCCCCATGCACCCGACCAAGCGGGACACTGCTGCTTGCGCTCATGGATGGTTGCACGAGGACTCGGTCCAACAGCTCCTGGCCGACAACCCCTCGCTCCTCGCTCGCTCTGACCGTGTGGGAGACGCTGCATTGCCGTGCGTCGACACTCTGTGAGTTCTGTAAACTGGGCTGTCACAGGTCGTATTGGAATAGCGACCGTTCTTCTTGGATCCGCATTCAATGAGTTATTGTCCTCAATCGCGTAGTCCGTTTTCCCAAATATAGACTGTTAGTTTGAATGTTGCGAGTTGAAGAAAGTTACACCACATTTCAAATAAAATAGATTCCGTGTTCATGAAAACTTCCCTTTTTATCTAGTTCTCTGTAGTATACGTACTGTTAATCCCGGTGCAGCGTTATGGGTGCACCTCTGTATCCCCCACCCTTCAGAGGCACCAATGTATTAAATGTTCTTCAATGCGCTCGGAAATGCACGTACCTATAAGGTGCCTCATTGGTAACGTATTAAATGCACGCAATGCACATTAAATGCTGTGATGCGCTTTAGAAGCGTCACCAATGTGTCACGTGCATTTGTACGCGCTTTGAAGCGCATTTAATGCGTCTCCTGCTCACCGGTTCGGGCGGGTTCCGCTTGCCTGGACCGCGGAGCCGATTTCTTGCCGGACGACACGACAGAGGCAGGTAGGCCGCCAATCTCGCCGGGGAGTATGGAGGGAGAATGGTTGCCTAACTAGCAGGCGCTCCGAGCCAAGCGCGAGACAAGGCGATACTGGGGACTGTAAATAAACCCCGTCTTCAGCGATATTATTATGGTAATTGGTACATCGCATTTGCAGAATTGCATCGAGTATTACAGCAACAGGGTATTTCAAAGAAGCGCTGCTCGGACTAAGAAGAACAAAAATGGTTACAGACAGCGGTGGTGGGGGCGGGCGAGGGAGGAGCAGCGACGGGTGGGGTAGCTGCGTCCAGACAAGAGGGTCGCTTGGGTTGTTTGGGTCGCTGTGGGGTCTCTGAGTCTGCGCAGAGAACCAAAACGTGGCCTCTGCGCCGGCTCAGAGACCCAAGCGACCCAAGCAACCCAAGCGACCCTCTTGTCTGGACGCAGCGCAGCTGGTGCCTCCCCGCCGGTTCTCCGCTGGGCATCGCCTGCCTGCCCCCGAACGAAAGGTCCAAGGTCGCAAGTCTTTGTGTCTGTGTGTTTATTTGGTATTGTACCAGTGTATCCAGCCTCCCCAGTTGGGCCAGCTCACCTGAGACAATTTATTCCCAGCTCCTCAGCAGGTAAGCCAGTCAAACAGATTTCAGAATCTGTGGAATCAGTTTGTGCCAGTTTGTGCTGAGCCGTGGCCGTGCGGTTCCCACATAGACTCCCAGTAGCTAGGTTAGGTTATGGGCGGTACAGGGTGGGGCAGATTTCTTCAATATTTGAAAGTTGACAAAACGTTCCATCTTCGTGCTAGTATTATTCGCTCACCATTCCAAGTCCGTAGTAGGTAATGAACATTGATATGCACGCATAAAAGGTAATACATTTTCGACGCATTTAACCTCTTTAAATGCGCGTGCGTTGTGCCTCAATGCTCATGAAATGCGCCCGAAATGTGTTTTTTTTTTAATAGTGGAGTTCCGACGACGAAGTGGTTACGTTATCGTACCGTATGTTAATCAGGAATCGTAGGCTCGAATCTCAGGTTGTTCGCTTTTCGTTGTATTTCCCCCACTAACTTGGGGGTTGTGTTTAAGGGTGACCGTACCCATATAACACGATCGTCGATGAAAATTTGTGCCCAATTTTATACATGGGTTTGTAGGGGAAATTCATTTTTTCAAAAATGACTGAAATCGCTTATTTTTCTTTCTGAAAAATCAGAAAATGATCCTCAGACTGAATAGACCATTCCGGTAAGCCGAGATAGAAGAAGAGAAAGAAGAAGCAAAGATTTATTTAGCCGCTTATGGGACCTTTTGGAACTGCATTTTACAACTCGTACATGTACACAAATATTTTTTAGAGCAAATGATATATTTTCATAACAGCAAATCACTCACAAAACTACACTATGAACCGCTAGAGAAAACTTTGCTTCTTCTTTCTCTTCTTCTATCGTGGCTTACCGGAATGGTCTATTCAACGTAAAAACGTCGTTTTAGGGCCGAACACAAACTTGGGATGATATTTGGATTCTACAGAAAGAAAAAAAACAAATTCAATTTTTATTTATTCCTTGAGAAAATGGATTGCCCCTATGGACCCTATTAAAGTGGGCACGAATTTCACCGGCAATAACAATACTTAGTTTTCGGTCACCGTACAAAACCGCCAAGGTGGCCCAAAATAGGTGCCCTACAATGAACAGGAGCCATGGACCACGACCACGAGCCATAAGGCTCAGGCCATCTTTCCTAAAACCACCCAAATTCACGTAGTTTTAAACGCGAATATCGGAAGTCTAAATTAGCCAACTGCAAGTACGAATGCGTAAGGCCAAAGAGAAAGGCCCTAGGTACCGCGGCCCCCGTTCATTGTGGGGGCACCTAATCGGGAATTAACACTTGCATGGGGGTCCTCTTGTAAGTAAGTACTCGCGCGGCATCCCCAGTAGCGCCCATGCACTTGAATATGCGCATGAACTGTGGCAAAGCACGTAAGAATGCGCATAAAAGGTAACACATTTTGGGCGCATTTAACGTGCATTACGCGCACTCTATGCGCTTTTAAAACGGTAAAGCGCATTCATTGCGTCAAAAATGTGTCACCTTGTCTGTGCATTTCAGTGCGCATTACCAAATCGGCGCCAGTGGCGGACTCGAAGGTCAGCGGTTCGAATCTCTATCAAAATGAAATTTTATCTCAGGCCTCAAAATTTTACTAGTACTGGACTCCAACCCCGTCATTTCGCCAGGTCAGAAATTGTTCTATTACTGCGTTCCGGACTAGTGAAGCAAGCCCCCCCCCCTTTTATCCCTTACCATCTGATGTAGCGCCACTGTTTCTACTATTCCCTGGAAGCTCTCACCCGCGGACGAGTCCGTCACTTACGTGAAGATTGTGTTGTTCCTTATAGTGCTCGCCTCGACTCCCGTGCCATGCAGCTGGACCAATTGCCGGACGACGTCCTCGTAACGCTGATGCAGCACTTGGACGTGGACAGCCTCCTTGCCTGCCGCCTCGTGTGCAGGAGGCTCTGTGGCCTCGCCCTGCACGGTGACGCGTGGCGGCACCGTTGGCTGTGGACCGACTTCGAGCCCCGCGCACGCGCGGTCCTGCGCCTGGCGCCATGCCTACGGGGGGTGTCCGTCTGCGGCCACATCCTGCCGCTGATCGCGACCAGGTGCTCCGTCGCACACTTGCTGTTGACGGTCAATGTCTCGGACCAGGGCGACGGCGCCGAGGCGAGGCTCGCTCTGGCGGCCACCCAGTTCGCCCTCGTGGTGCGCAACCAGGAGGCGCTGGGCCGCCTGAGAGGCGTCACGCTGTCTTGCCTGTATCCGATGTTCGGTGCGGAAGCACTGATCATGACGCTCGCAGCAACCTCTGGCCTGGAATCACTGAGAGTTGTAGGCATCGTACCCTACCACTGGAGTCTGATCGAGCAAGGGCCGCGCAGGCCGACCCTGGAGCATTTTGAATGCGAGCTCACGACTGGCACGGAGTCCTTCGTGAACACCGTGCTGGCGGGGCACGGCGACACACTCGAGGTGGTCGACCTGGGCGCGCACAGCCGCGACGGCGTGGAGGGCTACCTAGGCCAGACCTCCGAAACTACGCTCCGGCTGCTGGGCGGCATGGGCAGGCTGCGAGAGCTGACCTGCCAACTGCTGCCCGGGCTGGAAGTCGTGGCGGCGTGCCCGACCCTCGAGAATCTGCGCCTCAACGTCTACTCGTTCGAGCCTCATGCCATCGAGGGCGCATGTGAACTGCTTCGTCGAGCCCACCATCTACGCTCGGTGTGCCTGGACTACTACTATGATGACAGCCAAGACAGACCCCCGGAGGTCGGCGCCAAGCTGATCGAGGCCCTGGGCTGCTGCTCGTCCGGACGCTCTCTCGTGACGCAGCTCGCCATCTCCGCCCTCCCTCTGCTGCAGCCGCTGCTCGGGGCGCTGCCGTCACTGCCGGCCCTGCACGACCTGTGGCTGAGCGCGCCGCTCCTCACGCTCAACGGCGAGCTGGCGCAAGGCATCACCCCGTCCACGGCGCCGGCGCTGCGGCTGTTGGCGCTGAGGCCATACGAAACGCTCGAGTGCGTCCACGACTGGCTTCACACGGACACGCCGAAAACCGTTCTCACGGCCAACCCACAGCTACACATTCTGGTGAGGGAGCTCCACGAGTGTGGCATCTGCGAGGCTTGTGAACTTGGGTGTCACCGGAACGTGAGGTGGGGTGTGTCGAAAGAGGTCGGTCTCTTCGTGCACGACCTCGGCAAGTGTACCTCTCCCGAGGTCCACATTGTTGATCATCCCTGGCGCTCGTGGATCCAAGTTGCAAGATGCATATGAACAATGTTAATTTTGGTAGTTCGCCCGTTTTGTAGTTCGCTGATTTGCATCCGTGTTGTTAAAATGAGGTCAAATGTTTTAAGCTGATTTTGATTGTAAACTCAATTTCTCGATTCCTGGTTGCTAGGACGTTGGAAATTCATGCATTTCGTTTCAAATTTAGTGTACACCATCAGTAGAAAACTTACATGTTTGCCTTTCAAAGTAGATCTTTCATGATAACTATAAACTGAAACCAATAAAATGTTTGTCATAGTGATGGGCGTAGGCTGCTGTGTTGTGGGTTTGCATGCACCCCATTTGGCCGCACATACCAGGACGCCATGCCCTTTACGGGCGGAGGGAGTAGGCAAACCCGTAACACTGGAGGTGGAAGCGCGGGCTATCACCTTCTCCATCGCATCAGTGACCTGCCTGAAAAATATTAGCAGTTTCTACAGAATCCATGAATGAGAGCAACCCACGGCGCATCCCCCGGCGTCCTGCCTGCCGGACCTTAAACCGCACCGGCGGGTCTCTGCTATTGGGACCAGACCAACACGTCCACAGTGAATCCGTCTACAGAATTTGCGCGTTGTGAAAACACGTCCATAAATTTACATCCAATGATTTGGACATAAATTAACAGATGTGTTTGTTGTTAAGTCCACAGTGTGGCCTCAGCTTCACCGGAATGCTTTATTTAGAGGGTTGTTCGCGTGACGGAGGACTTGTGGGACTTGTCCATGCAGGGATTGTGATGATGAGAATTTTACTACTCGCTCCGATTTGAGGAGTCAGACTCGTGAAGCACACCACAGTGCGTCTTTGCAAAATAAAAATTCTGTAGTACGTGGAGCATTTGTTGTGCTGAGCTCTGAGCTCGCCCCGCTAGCAAGCGTCTGCGGCGGCCCGCGGAGTGCTCGGGGGGTACGTACCCACCTGTGGCGACGGCGCAGTACCGGTCGATGCGTGGCGCCCCTGTGCCCGGGCTGTGCCCTGCCGGCCGGGCCCGGCCCGGGCCTCCCCTCGCCTGGCCTGGCGGCGAGCCTGGCGGGGTCGGCGCTGCGCTGCGCGAGGCGCGGCGCGAGGCGCGGCCGGCACAACAGTTGGCTTGCGCGCGCGGAGGCAGCCGGAGGGTGTCGCACGGCACGCGCGGGAGCTCGGCTCCCTCTCGGCTCGGCACGCCACAGGTTCGGCATCGCGGGCGGGGGACTTCCCTCCCACGAAGAGTGGCACGCGTGACGAGTGCGCGCGGCAATCGCGTGTGACGGTACGGGCGCGTGTGACGGTGTGGTGGTCACTGTGCTGTGCGACGACGACGGCGGCGGCGACGAAGGGATGACGTCAGCCGGTCGGCAGCAAAAGAGCGGCGGGTGAAGAGACAAAACGACTCCGAACTTGGACGTGAGCCGCGCGGTAGGTGCAACGAACAGCACTTCGAGCATCCCTTCTCGTATATGTCACATTATCGCCAATTCGATGTCAAATTATATCTCAAAATGTGTCCCACGAACTGATCACTAACAATTAAAAAAGAAAGAATCCCATTGAAGAATTTTGCGAAGTTAAAACGCACATAACAGAGACAAGGTTTTATTCGTAGTATAACGAAAGCCGATCACACACAAACTGCCTGTTTGTGACTACGAAGAATAACAGTACTCCATTTGGTGTTACACAAATGCGAGAGGATATTCACTGTTGTAATACCGTGTACATCACCCCTGCGTATTACGCGGTATTACGTGTAATGTAATAGTGCCGAAAAATTACAAAATATATGCTATAAAATGGCCGAATTTTGCTTGTAATACCGGTGTAATACCCGGTAATACTACGTAATTCAGTGTAATGCCGAGGACTCTGTACAATTCTTCTGGTAGTGGATATCCCTCGCACAAATGTGATTCATTGTTAAAGTAACAAATCTTCGTATTACTAATAAATCTGCGAACGTGTTAGTGAAGTCAATAAGTGAACCTCGAAAGGCGATGTCGATTTTTTTACCAAAAGCATCGAAATCGACGTATATTCGCCGGCCAATTGCTATGGATTCTACGTCGAAGGCTTCTCATTGGGATGTAGGTTCAAAATGAAGTTACGATTAAGAGGCTTCTTCGTAATACTTCAAGAGTCTACCGCCATGTTTAATTGCCTAGCAGCCAAAGACGGAACGGATTTGTAATGAGGATAAACAACAGAAAAGTTTTTGCATTTCTATCATTGCTATTTTTTTTTGCAACTCTTTAACCGTTGCATGCACTCTGAATCTGCGTACAGGATCATGGCCAGCTACACACTTCGGCCCATATAGCTCTTAGCATAGGGCTCTACGTGTGAACATGGCCATGTGGACACTATTTGCTGCCTACCCGATCATGTACACACATTGCTGCATAGATGATCTTGTAGGCAGTTTTTGCTGCTTACATGTCGGTATTCAGCAAATGATGCAGACATGTACACACTTGGGTTTCCAGAGAGTCTCAAATAGCCTTCATACAAAAATTGTCCCTACCCATTTAGTGTGTGCGTGGAAAGCGTAAAATAAGATTTTGGAGGACTGGCAACTGAGGAAAAGGATATTTATAAAAGTCAAACTTATTTCAAAAAACCGAGAGTTTTCTACAAACATTTGTCTTTTATTACGGATCATTGACGTGTGTGAATGCAAGAACACCCGAGAACACCGGTCCTTCGCATTTCTGTTTTTTGCTGTGCACTCTTGTGAAAAGAAATTTGTCCCGTAGCGGTTGTAAGCGGTTTGCAGCGAGTGCGACCAACACAGCACACACACACAAACACACATCTACTGTACACAAGTGCTTTCCATCCCCGTGGGATAGCAAGAGCGCGCGCGCACAAACACACACATGTTCTCTCGCTCTCCCGTCCCATGCACCCTCTCTCTTTCTCTCCCTCACTCACACACACACGTGCCACCTCCCGGGCATCCGCAGAAAGAGACCCGGTGGAATACGCATCAGGTGAGCAGGGCTTGTTCTTAATGGCCGCGCCGTTTTGTTGCCAGCCTCGCCTCGCATGTCGCGTGCCGCCCCCCCCCCCACTCACCC